TGTGTTTCTATTTTAAAACTGTCTTACCTATTTTTTTTCATTTGTTTTTCTATACTTTAAATGCTAGAACAAGCTAGGAACAAACATTACTGTCACTAAAAATAAGTAAATACAAAAATGTGTTGCACAATATAGTAACATTACATTGAATTTATGGGTGTATGCCATTATAATAATGATTCTAAATATTAAAGTATATGTTTCCACTTTTACATTTTCCTGGATGTGATTTCTTATATATCCTTACCAGATGTATTCCTAATTATTAAAATTTATTTCAAGGTACTAATGCTGGTGCTTGGATTCCCATGTTGTAGTTCTCTGTTGTTAATATAGAAAATAGTAATTTATTTTCTTTGATCGACATATTTCATCAAGATGGTTTAAGTTGCTTTGTTTATCTATAGGTGCATTTGAACACAGTTAAATTCACTAATAATAAGCATTTAGTTCTCCATTTCAAGCCTGACGCCTTTTCCTTATCTTTATCATTGGTATGCTTAGCCCCTTCAGGTACAAGGCTGAGCAAGAGTAGGGACAGCAGGCAATCTTGTCTGGAACTTAGACCTTTATTATGAGACTTCACTTCTGTAGTTATGTTGTTTTGGACTGCAGAAATTCTTTCTGGTGGTATGAGTGAGCATCCTTTGGGTATATGCCCAAGAGTGTTAATGCTGGGTGCTGAGGTGGATTGATTCCCAATTTTCTGAGAAACCACCATACTGATTTCCAAAAGTGGCTGTATGAGTCTGTACTCCCACCAGCAGTGGAGGAGTGTTCCCCTTTCTCCACATCCTCACCAACATAGGCTGTCATCAGTGTTTTTGGTCTTATCCATTCTGACAGGTATAAGTGTAAGGTATCTTAGAGTCATTTCGATTTGCATATCCCTGATGACTAAGGATGTTGAAAATTCCTTAAATGTCTTTCAGTCATTTGAGGTTCTTCTGTTGAGAATTCTCTGTTTACATCTGTGCCCCCATTTAAAAAAAAAAAAAAACTGGATTATTTGGTATTTTGATGTCTAGTTTATTGATTTCTTTATAGATTTTGGAGATCAGCCCTCCATCTGATGTGGGGTGGTGAAGATATTTTCCCATTCTGTAGGCTGTCTTTTTTCACCCTTATTTACGGTGTCCTTCACCTTACAAAAACTTTTCAATTTCAGGAGGCCCATTTATTTCTCTTCTATTTCTGTCTGGCTGAACAGTTTTCTAATTACAAGTGATGGGAGATGTCACTCTGTAAATACATTTCTCATACTGGTTAATGAATAAAGCACTGTTGGCCAATAGGAAAGGAAGATAGGAGGGACTAGGAGACAAGGAGGAAAGAGGAAGTAGTAAGGAGGAGTCAAAATGGAGAGTCTGGAGAAAGCAGAATGTCAGCTGGCATGTATATAAAAGAAATACATAGATCAGCAGAAATGGGTTAATACTTAAAACAGAGCTAGCCGATAAGAAACTAGTACCTGGGCAACAGAATTATATCTAATACAGAGTCTCTGTGTGTTATTTGGGGCTGATGCAGCGGCGGGACAAGACCAGCGGCGGCAGGCGGAAAAACCTTACTCCTCACACACAAGTATAACTGAATTTGGCAAAGTGAATTATCCTGAGACATGAAACAATACCAGGGATCAAACCCAGGGCCTGACACACCCACCACACACCCACCTATCTGTGAGCCATACCCCAGCCCGCTCTCTGGACCTTTTGACATGGTCTGCTATTCCACTAGGTAGCAAAAACTTGAATCATTTCTTCTTTATATTGTGGAACCTATCACCAATGCCAGAAGCAGAAGCTGGATGAGGGATTACCTTAGCTAAAATTGTTTCGGTTTGCTAATATATAGCTTCATATTTTACATTTATGTTGAGCATTTGTTTTTCTTTGCTAAAAATGCTATGTTTGGTTTTTGGTTTCAAAGGCAGATAAGTAGTCTTTTTTAAAAAAAATATTTATTTTATGTATGAATGACCCATCTTCATGCACACCAGAAGAGCAGATCAGATCCCATTACAGATGGTCATGAGCCACCATGTGGTTGCTGGGAACTGAACTCAGGACCTCTGGAAGAGGAGCCAGTGAGTGCTCTTAACCACTGAACCATTTCTCCATCCCTCATAGTCTTATAACAAATAACTTAAGTTATCTCTTTTTCCAATCTCAAGATAGGTTGGTAATGAATCCATAAAAGCCCAAACATCTAAAGGCAATGGGAGAATCCACACTTTGCAACTAATCTTAGTGCAGTGGAGCATCAGGCTGGTCGCACACTTTCATATCCTGAAGCATGTATAGAGATGTTTACATTTGTTAAATGAATACCTCAGTTTCTATACCCACTCTAATGGCTTAGTTATCATGAGACATATATGTGCTGTCTTTTTTTATTGATGTGTTATTTCTGCAAGATCAGAAACCAGTGCCTATAATAAAATATGTAAACTTCTTGGGACACATTATGCATGGGTTTATAAAACTGGGTGATGCAAACTGACTCTCTTTTGGTTTTTAAATAAAATATCCAAAGACACATCTCATAAAAGCATCCAAGCATAACCCATGAATGCATATGCTATATTCTTATTCATGTATACTAGTATTTGCAATTACACACACACACACACACACACACACACACACACGTAGTGAGATATGTACTTTGTCTCCTTCTGTGGCACTGACCACGCCCATTGGGGTGGAGCCATGGGTGGAAGTGACCTGTGGAAGGAGGTATGAGGAAGAGCCTGGGAACACTCTCTTGCTGGCAGGACTCGGACAGAAGAGCATCCAGTGGAACTTTCTGGTGTTCATCTGTCTAGGTTGTAAGTTATTTCTCCCTGAATAAAAATCTATTTGGCCTATTTGTTTATCCTGATCCTTATTTAACTGCAATATACACACATGAATATTTTATCAGATGTACTTCATAAATAAAAGCAATCAATCCATTAAAAATGATAAACTCTATAAAGTAAAATGTTATAGGTTCATTTCCATATAAGAAAACTGATGTTCTTAAATTGGTGTGACATTCACCTGAGTTTTAATATGTTTATATTGCACAAAAATGTTTCTTTCCCTCCACTTCTTGGGTTTCCCTGAAGAGCTAACTTTCACTAGTGTAAATGTCCTGGCCCCGGCAGAACCGCACTAACTGGTTAATGGAATTAAAGGGAGGATACAAGCTTGCCTGGCTCAAGCCTTCTGTAGGGAAGGTGCATGTTCACTTGAGGCCAGCCCTCTTGGAAGAAACTAAGCTATTTTGGGTAGTGGTAGTAGAAACTTTGTGTTGCCCCAACTCTGCTTTGAAGAGGGTGAGTTTGATCTTGTAATTCAGTATTAGAAAACTAACTGGGGTCATCTACATCATTTCCCCAGTATAGATTTTAAAATCGTAAGGTTCTGAACTTGTGCAGGAATGACGGTGCATTTACTGACACATAACCATGCTTAGACCCCAGGCTCATCTGAGCATGTCCCAGAAGTCCACATCTGAAATTTCAGGAACAGGAATGTCTCTCCTGTCCACAAAGATTAGGAGGAAATAAAAGACCTGAAGCAGCTGTGGGGTGTGACATCTTCCTCCAGACTAAGCAGGAAACCATCCTCTTTGCCTTGCCCACAAAAGCTACCTGATCCATTAATTGAAACTGAGTTGTAAGAGCCACAATTTCAGGAATGTCACAAAGGAACCCTGATAAATTCCCTCCTATGTGGGGATTCTAAGCTTTCTTCATTGGGCACAGTGTGTTTCTCGGTAAAGAAAGACTCTTCATTCTGGGCTGTCATGTCAAAACCATGGCTAGCATTCTTCCAAATCAAATGAAACCATTAACGCGGGTTGCATTCCCCATTTAAACTCTGCAGTGTAACTTCAATCTCCACATATTTAAAATAAAGTTAACTATGTCTCTGGAATTGTTATGATTAATCGGTTACTATTTGCAAAAGAGTTAAAAACACATTAACACATTAGCTATCCTAAGAGTGCACAAAAGAAAAAAAAAAATCTATGACAAGTATATGTGTTGGTCCATTCACAGAAAGGTACTGGGATCCACTCCTCCACTCTGTGGATGGGAGTCACTGTGGTAGAAAGTGGGCTCTAGCGCCCTCTCCCTGCCATGATTTTGCTGCCTCTATTTCTAGTATTTCTAGTGCTTCCTTTCTCTCTTATTTTTTTAACCTTCTTTCTGACTCTCTTGTACTATGACTTCATTTTCAGACTCACTCTCTTCTGCTTTTTAAGTAAGACTACAACTTTCGTGTAATAAAACTAAAGTGGCAAAGGCTAGGAATGTAGCTCAGTGCATAGATAACTCGCCTATCCTGTGCAGAACCCTGGGTTCAGTTTGCCATCACTAATCCATCTTCAGTGCTAATAGGAACTGTAATTGTATTGGAACATTCTAAAACGGGCTACTTTTTATTCTGAACTTTTGCAGCTTAACAGTTGCTTCTCGTTGCTGTGTTTCCTTGTGTTAGAAAACTACATGTTTTAACTGGACATGCATGAAACTCGATTGTGAGGTAGAACTTGACAAAAAAAAAAAATTCATCTCCTGCTTATTGGTGTGTCAATGTCTGGGTAGAGTCGTGCAGAGTAATAAAATCAAACCAAATGTACCTACCTTCTCAACCACATTGTTACCGGCGATGAATGCTGAAATGCCTAACAATAGTTAATTTTATCCCAACGTTTTGGGGTGCTCTTACTCAGGATTTGAAAACAAGAATATATAAATCAAATGTGCTTATTTCCAACCATATTACATCTGTCACCTCAGGTTTGTGGTTACTGCTATGTTTTTTTTTTTTAAAGACAAAGACTATACAAATAAAAGCTGTTCTGTAGATGAGAGAGTGGGTTTATTTTCGTTTTTTTTTTTTTTTTTTTTGATCCCCCTATTTATGAGACTCCCAACTTCAGACTGTTGCGTGCCATGTCTCTACACAAAGCTCACAGGGAACTGCGATTGTAAGGCTTACCTGGAGTTACCCCAGTCAGGGCCAATGCCTGAGATGGGCCCCCTCGTTTCTGTTGTATACTTGTAAACCACAAGCAGGCACTGCTTGCAAAGCTCCACCAAGCGCTGGCAACACTGGAGCTGGAGAGGAGTCACCATGTCCGGGGCTCTTACTGAAGATGCTCTCCCAAGAGGACCTGTCGGCATGGAAACAGACATGACCTCCTGGTGTTCACTGTTAAGAATGGCAACCAGCTAGATCATCTGGCTAGCAACAAATTTGGGAACAAGGTAGAAATGGCCTCTTGTGTATGTAATGAATATGAAATTTTATAATAAATGCAAATTAGGAAGTTAATCATCATTTATTTATGAATAGAATTATTATAGGATTTGTCTTTAAGGCCATTAGTGCTACCAACCTGGATAGCTAAGAAAATGTTCATTCCTGCTTTAAAACAAAACTCAACAATACAAAACAAAAAACAAAGGATTCCACATTTAAGTATTTGGTTAATTTCTCAAATTTTAGGTATTCTATGAAATTAGGGTTTTTTTTTTTTTTAAAAATTCTATATTTAGCATAATACCAGACACAAAGAGATATAATGTCGTTGTGATTTAATTTATGGCTGCTCTGCTCTAGGAAACTCAGAATGGCCCCTTGATTATGAACACCCATTTCAAAATACTCTTTGTATTAATCATCCCCTATGCTACCTCTAATACAGGGATGTACTCTAACAGTGATGTCACCCCAGCAGGTACGTATTTCCCACAATAGGAGCTGATGTCCATCCTCTTTCAGGGAACTCACTCCAAACTGGGAACAGCTCACAAATCCCTGGAAAGCCTTAATGTTTGTGAGCATGTTTGTTTGTGTTACTGTTATCACCTCCTGAGTTATCATCCATGGCTTTCACCAGGAATTACCTCAGCATAGATGTAGAAGGGTTACTATTTTTAAACCTTGAGGAGAAAATGGCTTGAACTTGTGTAATGGTTCAAGTCTTGTTTTACAAAAGCCAATTTTTGTAATCCTTGGGGGGAAAGAACAGGTTTTCAGATTTAAAACAAGAAATACTAAGGAAAAAATCTTTTCCCTGAAAAAAAAAATCCCAAAAGGAAAATCCTTCTGTGCTGTTTTATATATTTTGAAATTAGATAAATTATTTACACACTTCAAAGTGGTGGAGTTGTTTTGTTTTCCCTGCAAAGATTGCTGTTTATTTCCTCAGGAAAAACATGGTCCAAGAAGATGGCATGTCATAAGCAAATGACAGATTTTATAATTCTTACAGGGTTAAAGCTTAAATGAGTTAATTGAAAGAAATGAATTTTCTTCTGGGTTTGGAATGCTAAGGTCTAAATATAATACGTTTTCCTTAGCAAAGGCATAAACATTTCTGATTCATAAACAATTAAATGCTAGTTCAATTAACTCAAAATTTAATACTAAACTAAAAAATAATATGTGTCATCAAGACTTATAGCTACAGATATAAATTTAACCTAATTGAAGCAAAAAACACTAGAGAACATAACTACCATTTATGTTTGTATTTAACATGCATATCTAAGAGACCTTAAATATCTGAGCTGAGAGATATAAAATTGTGTATTCCTATAAATACACAACTGCCCATCTAGCCTCTCTGTTGCAATTCTGATATGTGTATAGACATGTATCTCCCACATTACCCTCTACGCTGAACAATATTTTTAAATATCTATTTTGAAGCATCTGATTAGATCTGTACCTGGTATTTCACATGGAGGTTATTTTTCTTGACTGACCTTGAGATTCAGAGGAAGAGAGAAAGAAATGGGATGGAAGAAAGATAAAGGGATTCCTTTGTTTCAATTTGACATAACTTTTTTACATAATGACTGAAGTTTGTCTCTAAGGTCACTGATGCTACCAACTGTGCATGGCTAGCCAGTTTGCTGGCTCCTGCTTACAGAAAGAGAACAAATTTGGCTGCTCTACCATTCTCTTTTCAAGATAAATGTATGAACCCATGTCCTATAAACACTTCCTGTGTGGACATTCAATATCACTGACAAAACACTTTTTCTACGCTATTAAGTCATATTCAAGTATCAGTGTGCCAAAACCCCTCCTAAGAGAAGAGAAAATGAGTAAGACCTGAGTCCTGTACACAGGAAAGCTATGATCCTCAGCTAGTGCCTGCACAAATGCTCCTTTGCGCCCCTTATGCCAAAGAAACGGCACAATGGTGTTAGTTTTGAACAAAGGTAAAAGGAAATAGGAAGAGTTTTAAAAAGTATTTGTGCTTTCAAATCAAAGAACCCAGGGTCTCGTTGCCTGCTCTCTGAATCTAAATTTGAAGGGAATAGAAGCACTAACATCAATGAATTCTGAAAGAAAAATTAAACGATTAAATAGTTCTTTTGGGTTTTCCATAATCCTCAGAGAAATATTAAATGGGATGGCTTTAGATGACATTTTTAGTGACATAATGACAAGGGATAAAATCCTGAATATTTCTTACAACAAAGAGGGGTTAATGAAAACCCAAGGCTTAGAAAGTCCTCTTATTATTCAATAATCCAACCACTTCACCCTTTTCCTCATGAAAACTTTAATAAATCATTTATCTGAAGAAGGGAAATAATTCATTCCTTTGTACCCTTGGAGAAAACCTAACTGGTGGTTATAAATGTACAGAGAAAGGAGAAAGAACCACTTTGCTTTGTCTGTCTAAAACTCTAGACAGTCTGTCAAGTGAGCGGATTTGAGCACTGAAGACCTTCCTTGAACTCCCTACCAAAGCCCTCCCATTTGGCTGCGATGGAACAGGGTCTGTCATTTAACATTTACTTTAAAGCATGTGCCTTTTCAAACTGTGGCAGTTCCAAACTTGGAAACAAGCCACTCTGTGTAGCTCCCTGTTCCTGCTTGTGCTTGGTACTTACTCTGTGTCCCCCAAAGTTCTACTGTATCCTTTGAAGCTTTGCCCCCCACCCCTTGTAACTATGTATCCCTTTAGCTACTGGTCTGACAACTAGGATGCGTCAAGGGAAACATTACACAAATATAGTTTAAGTAACTCTTGGAAGGCTCATTGTATTTGTGAACAGGTAAGTCTCTGTCTTTTAAACTACCAAAGAACATACCTTAGACTGTTTCTAAAGGTTTGTTTCTGAACCAAGATTTTAAAAATAAATAAAAAAGCTTGCATATGACAAGCACCCACAGAAAACATTTGGGCCCAAAAGGTCTAAACCAGAATCTCTTGCTCTGGGTAAAGAGACAACTGGTGAATTCCCTTCCCACGTGGTGGTCCGCTCACGCATTTCCTCCTCCTACTCATCCTTCCTCCTCTTCCTCATTGCTTTATGTGGCCCACACCCATTCTTCAAGCAAGTCTCAACTGAAACGCTACTGGCCATAACCATCTTTCCTGAGTTAGAGTCCACAGAAATCTAGAATTCTCTTGGCCCAGGAAAACACAGCACAGCAAGGTAATTTATTTAAGAAAATATCAAGAACTACACTGCCCATGAGACTGACCATAATCAGAATTTGGGCCATCAAAACTCTCCCAAAGGGGCAGAAGTGATGGATCAATGGTTAAGAATGTTTCAGGCTTTTCCAAGAGGACCTCACTTTGGATCCCAGACCTACACTCCACAGCTCACAACCATGAGTAACTCTAGCTTCAGGGGCATACCCTCAAAAAGACACATACACATAATTTTACAAATAAAATACATCTTAAAAAAACAACTCCCAGGTAACTACATTGAACCAAGGGAGTTTGGGGGCATGAGCACCCAAGAATAGAAGGACCAGGGTATTTCCTGTCTGATACAAAAGCTCTTGCTTGAATTTATTGAAACCAGCAAGGAAGGTTTGTGATATTTTTCAATGTCTCTGGAGGTAGGCAAGATGGCATACTTGATTTATCTTATTCTTGGGTAGTAACAGATAAAGTCAGGAATGGAGCCTCCTTTTGTTATTTATATTATTTGCCTAATATTTTGCCAGATAGCTGAGCAAGAAAACAACTTTTTTTAATTAATTAAAATCATTCTTTGAAATGAAACTAGATTTCTTTCACCTTGACTTCCTAGCTGTCAGACCAGCTGTTAAAGGAATGCATACACATACTGATGAGGCAAAGCTTCAAAAGATAAGGAAGAACTGTGGAGGATCCAAACTGAGGACCAGGTATGGCCCAGGTGGTATAGTGATGAGCATAGCCAAAGGCTAAACACAAATAGCACCATGTGGCTTTGTAGAGTTGTGAAAGCCTACAAAGCTCACCTACAAAGCCTGAGCTAAACATCTAAAAACCACCAGCATGAAAGAAATGAGTGAAGCCATATTGAACTCCAAAGTATTTCTCCTCCACCTGCTCAGCATAACTGGCTAAGGGGTTAGCTAGTGCTGGGGACTTGAAGCGAAGCATGCTTGGTAGATGCTGGCAAGTGGCAAACGTGTCTGGAGACAGCCAACAAGGCAGTACACTGAGGGCTGGACTCAGCCTTCCTGGGTTTAAACGGAGGTTCACTCAATTTACATATTCTGTGCAGCTTTAGTTTCTTCGACTGTCAAGTGACAATAACAGCATAATAGTTTACTGTAGTTATTATATGGTGAATATGCAAACAGCTGCCCTATGCTTAGGAAGCCATCGATAAGCATGACTTACTACTGTCAGTATTTGTAGAGAAAGACACCACCACCGGAAAAATTTGCACAGAATATTATGTTAGTGGCAGGTGAAGAGGAAACTCAACCAAGCCAGAGTATGTTACCAAGAAGAGTGAGGAAATAAAGCCTGTGGTCAGTGAAGCCACCAGATATATATCTTTAGATGTTGACACTAGCAAATACCTACCTAGCACTAACATAAGTAACAGACTGTCTCACAGCCTTCCACGGCTGGCAGGTGCTGAAATTCATATGTAGAACCAAGCTAAAGGATCAACAAACAAACCAAATCAAAGAGTTCAGATGGAAACATTCCAGAGAGCCATCAATTGTGGGGAGGGGGTCAGCTATAGAATACAGATCAAATATTTTGCCTAAATCTCTATAGGAGTGTCTTATAGCCAAGGTTATTGTCAGATGGCATTGCAACTGAGCGTGCTCTTCTGCTAGTGAATGGCAGATGAGGGAAAGCATACGGTGCTTGGAAAGGGTCTGCAAAAGGTACGAACGGCGTCTCAGGGCAGAACAGGATGTTACGATTTTACAAGAGAGACATGTGTACTCTGGGCCTCTGCATAGGGCTCAAGTCATGCACAGTGGGAAGATTTTTAAGATATTTGAAAAGAACTGTGTTTTTATGGAGCACACACCAAACAGGAGAGTAATAACAGAAAAGACTGGAAGTTAGAATGGGTGTTATGGGCAGCCTATGTCACTAGACAAGTTTAGACTCGATGACAGATGAAGGAAATCAGAAATCACTGCAGTTGAAGCAATGATCTTCATAATAAAATAAGTAAATGAAACACTGGGGCCAAGGCTGCCAAGAAATCCCTTTTGTTGCACATGCATGCATGAGTGTTTGTGTGTGTATGTGCACGCGCAAGCACGATTGAGCACACATGTGCACACGTGTGTGTATGTATATGTCAGATGGCCAAGAAGTCCCTTCTTTTGCACATGCATGTATAAGTGTGTGTGTGTGTGTGTGTGTGTGTGTGCGCGCACATGCAGTGAAAGTATATGTCAAACTGCCTAAAAATCTCTTTTATTGTACGTGCATGTACAAGCGTGTATGTGTTTGTACAGTGTACACACATATGTGTATAGTATTGTGTAGGTATATGCATATGTCTGTATATATGTGTGTATGGATGCTATCGTATGTATATTCTGTGTACATGAACAAGTCATGCCAGTGTTTCTGCATGTGTATGTAGGAGGCAGAGTTTAATGTGGGATCTCTCCCTTTCTTGATTACTCTCCACCTTACTTTTGGAAAGAAGGTCTCTCATTGAACCCAAGGCTCATTATTGACTTACACAAATCAATTTAAGTGATATAAATTATATTTGAGTACTATAATTATAAAGAGTAAAAAAATCATATTTTAAAAGACTATTACTAAAGGTGTTCAACCATGTCCTTTGCCTGCCTGTGTAACTAATAGCAAAACATTTAAAATTGCAGTAACAAAAAAATAAAATCACTTCAACTTACCCTGAATCACAAAAACAGCTCCAAAGTCCTTGGCCATGACTCCAGAGTAAGCGATTAAACACCCGGTTGAAAATCCGATATAAAATCAGTTCGTCAGCATCAGGGACCCTCCAGATTCTTGGAAGGACTGTACGGATACTTGATTTTACTATGTCCAAAACCTAGTGGAAAAGCAAGTACTTAAAATCTACATATGCATACATAAGTCTTCTGTTCAAAACCTCTCTTATTAGAGAAAGGTGTGTGTCATCTACTATAGCTCAAGCTGACCAAGAATTTATGATGGCATTGAAGCTGGCTTTGAGTTCCTGTGTCTCCTGCTTCAACCTCCCAATGCATACAGTATGAGCACATACCACCATGCTGGCTTAAATGTAAGAGATGAATATTTGTGTGTGGAGAGAGGAGGGGGAAGAAGAAGAGAACAGAGAGGGAAACAGTAAGAGACAGGAAGAAGAGCCAAACAGAAACACAGACCAGTGCACTTGTGAATGCTTGCTGGTCAAGTGGGTAGGGACAGAGTACCAAACCAAGGGGAGATCGGAAAACAAATGACTTATGGGGACCACACCAAGTTGGACCCTTAGTCCACTCAAACCACAAATTCCAACTCTAGAAGGACTGAAATGTCAAGTGTTAAAAGAAAAGAAACTACTCAAATATCAATGGGTAAATACCTTTTAGATCCTGTGTGAGAAAAAAAATTAAAATTAAGTTGCACAATGTCATGGTCATATGAATATACAGAAATCGAATCCATGTCATAAAGGAAAAGCCAGACACCATGGCACATTTGTGACCTCAGGAGTGGTGGGACAGGGGCAGGTAGATCGCTGAAGCTCACTGGCCACCCACTGTATTCTGTAAGAGGCTCTCTGTCTGGCTCAGCAGAGAAAGCAATGAAGGCCTGCTGACTTAGGCCCACTCCCTAGAACTCCTGTGAAAGCAGAAGCAAAGGACCAGCTCCACAAGGCTTTCCCTGGTCCCCATGTGTGCGCCACAGCTATGCATCTCCCAAACACACCTTTAATCCCAGCACTCAGGAGGCAGAGGCAGATGGATCTCTCTGAGTTCGAGGCCAGCCTGGGCTACAAAGCTACACAGAGAAACCCTGTCTTGAAAAACACAAACCAAAACAAAATAAACAAAAAGAGACATCAAGAAACATAATTGTTCTAGTTTAAGTTTACTGGTGATTAGTTTTTTTTTTTTCCTTAACAGTTTATCATCTTAAGGATATTGCCTATAAAAATTAAAGCAGAAGCTAAAAGGGCAGGGGGAGCAGGCCTCAGTGGTTAAGAGGGCTTGCTGCTCTTGCAGAAGATCAGAGTTCAGTTCCCAGCACCCATGGAGGCAGCTCACAAAGCCCCTGCACTCTGTCACCCTCTTCTGAACTTTCGGGCACTTGCTTTCACAAGTACCTAGAGACTGGTGGAGACACAGTAGTTCTTTACAGGAATAACAGTAAGTGGAGGGAAGAGTATGAATCATTTGCTTCCCTAGGCACTCGCTAAATATTAACTAATATTAGTTGCTGATGACCAAGTTCAATTTTGAGCAAACACACATTTAACACTCAATTTGGTGAAACCCACTTTCAGACTACTACTGTTCTTTCTGACGGAATACCAGACCAGTCACAGCTCTCCTCACAGTAGCTCCATTTCCCTTCATCCTGCTCCCATCACTGTGGCGTGGGGCACACACGCACGTGCTGCGGTATGTTGAGGTGTGTCAGTAAGCACAGGGAACGGAAGAGAGATAACGTGGTAATTCCTCACAGGCGCTGCCCTGAATAATGACTCCTTAATTACAAAGAGGATTGAAAACGCACTCTCATATGAATTATTCACAAATACTGATATGATATTCCTATCAGGCATCGGTTTAATTTGTGCTGTTTTAAGTTTCATCTATGCTATCCCTTTAACACTAGCCATATTTAATGTAGAAAGCAGGACTCACGTAAGGATGAACAGTAGCAGAAAACACGACAAAAGTTTAAATCGTTTCTCAATTTTCCTCCATACTTTCTGTCACAGTGTATTAGTGAATAATATAATGGGCCAAAAATCATAATGCAAGAGTAAAAAAGTAGCCAATTACAGGTTATCATAAGTTAACCTCAATAAGTAGGAGTTATATAAAGTAATCAGAATTGAACAATGCCACTAATGCTCAGAATGTAAACATTACCCTAAGCAACCAGTTGTGACATTGTGTTATGAGACATTTATGTCTCAAATGAAAAGGAAATTGAGGTTAGGATGTATTTAAATATATCCCCTGGTGATCGCATGTGTTTTACAAGAACCAAACAGAAGAGTAACCAGTGTGGATTAGCTGACTGCCCTGTGCCAAGCATTGTACAAAGCACACTATTTAGGAGGCTTTCGGGATTACAGTCTACATGTGTTTTGTTCTTAGTCTTGGGGAAAACTTAAGAGCATGGTGGTCTAGTATCCTAACCCACATATGCCTATAAGCCAGGGATGTAGAGCTGGGGAAAGTGTCTGTTCTAGTAGAATTCCCCACCCATATGGACATGGTGGGAAAATCTTCAGTCATCGAAGGGGCTGCTCAAGCCCCACCACCCAGGACAGCTTCCCCTGTCTGCGGGAGTTAGGTGCCATTTAGTGAATGAATGTTGATGCCTGCTCTTTCTCGCAGACCATCACTGGGAACTCAGATTGCCCTTTGATCCTCCTTGCTTTCCTGTTTCAAGAAGCTACCTCTGAAGGCAAGCTCTGGTCTTAAGAGAAGGGATCTTGTTAGACAACATTGTATAGAAGTTGAAGAGGGTTTGTTTGTTGGGAGAAGTGGGACCCCCTGTCTACCACACTGGCCTTGAACTTGCCACAGACAACAGTGAACTTAAGATTCTCCTGCCTCCATTGCCCTAGTGCTGGGATTACAGGCATGTGACACCATGTCCAGCAGAGCATCAAACCCAGAGCTTTGAGCATGCTAGGCACACCTCTACCCACTGTGTTACACACCCAGCCCAAATGCTTAATAATTTGTGAAATATAATAATAAATGGCCAGCATGGTACCCCTGTGCTTATCTGTGAGTCCAAGAAAAGCTAACCTGTGGAACATAAGGACCATTTCTTTATGAAGCAACTTTTCAAAGCATCCCAATCCGAATTTAACCTCTCTGTGGGAAAAGTAAATGAAAGACTCAGCTAATGACAATGTTAATAACATGAAAAGATTTGTCTCCTTTTGAAATATAGCACATCTGAAGGCATAAAACACAATGACAAATACATATTTTGCAAGTACAGATGTTAGATGACAAACTGCCCCATATGGCTGAGCAGTTGGTCCTAAATTAAAATAATGGCAAGAGGTGAGGATGGCTTCAAAGCAACATTAAAATCGCTGTGTGCCACGCTAACGATGCGTGCAGCCGCTGTGGCTATAGGTTAAAGGCATAGTTGCTGACATAAAACAAACTGCTAAGAACGGCATCCCTGTCAGCCCCTAAGGAAACAGGGATGGGCAAAAGCAGCTCGGACACACAGGCGTTGGCAGCTACGGTAGGCATGGAAAAGAATTTGCTGCCAAGAAGTGCTGATAAACAAGGACCCATTGGAAACCCTAAAACAAACGCCAATAGACTGTGGCAACATAACTGGTTTCTCTCCACCTCCAGTCTTATTTTGTGCCTAGATGTGGCAGTGCAGAATGTGCTTTCCCACAAACTGGACACCCTTCACAGCCCATCAACACAGCAGCACCTCATACTCCATACATATTCCTCATGGAATGCCAGAAGCACACCTCTTGGCAGAGAACTGGACTGCACAACCTCAGACATACCACAACCTGATGGTAAGTAAGACTAAGTATCCCCACTCCACCCACAGAGGGGTCTCCTCAGTGCTTAATTCCTGAGCTTTGGAAATTAAATTTATATTTTATACCCACTAAGGAAAAGGAGAAGAAAGGCAAATAATTTTGTTTCCCAAGAAAGCACACACGTGTACACATGCACACCTACACACACTTGCACACAGACAGGCACACACACATGCAGTCACAGGAAAGCATGCCGGACTCTCTGTGTTTGGCAAGCTGTGCTCTGAATTTCATGGCCCTCTAAAGGACAGTCAGCAATGCCACTGTCCTGCAACTGAAAAGTGAGACAAATATGTATTTCAATGGTGGCCTCAGAATGGAAGTACCAATGGGTAGGATGTGCCAATCCCTGCATATTATCTGCAGAATTCATGCTTTAGTGAGAACAGCAGCTCCAACAGCACTGGCAATCAATAAATGCTTATCAATTTCAATCAAGTAACATATAACCTGTGGGCAGCCATGGATACAGGCAACTCAGAGCAGCCTGTTATAAAGAGTTCGTCATCTGATGCTTTCCCATTCCAAACGACCTGCATGGTCAACTGCTGCTATGTGCTACCTAGGCAGATCCCAACCAAGAAGCGAGCATGGTTGGGACAACAGCCCAGCCACTTCTGCCCAGGGTTGCTCCAACATGCAGCTATTGTCTACTCTCTCCATCAGCCCAGACAAAACCTTAAAATTAGCTAAATCAGAGGTCGTCCCTGTCTGGTGCAGACCATCATTCACATGTGTGTTTGCCATGGGCTCCAGTTGAAAATCTCTCCCGCCTCCTTCAGATCTTACCCCATTACCCCTCTTGGGTGTTCCCCTTGGAAACCTCCTGCAAACCTAATTATTCCTGCTTAGCAACTGCCTCCCAGCAGAGTAAAGCGGCAGCAATCTCCAGTGATGGTCGGCCATTATCACAGCTGAGAGAACGGTGTATCTGATTAATCCAATTCTAATATGTTAATTAAACCTTGGGTTTTCTAAATGGGTTACGCTTTATAATACCTAACTGTACATCCCATGCATGACTTGCACTTCCATATTTCTTCTTGTCGTGGATACACTTTCCAGCTTTATAAGGAAACAACACCAGATTAGACACATCAATATGCTAAGCCAACAGGCCGTGTTTATATCTCCTTTCTACACATCCCATGCAGAATTCCACGCACAGGGGTCAGGTGCCCACAACCTTCACTTTCTCACAAGAACCCTCCAGTGCCTAGACCCACAAATCTCAGAGAAGGTGGAAAAGGCCACTCAGGAGTGGGCGTAGGAGCACACAAATCCATCCTTCCCTA